TATTTAACCAGGAAGTCCCATTGAGATTAAAACCTCTTTTTCAAGAGAGACCTGGCCAAGATTGGCAGCAGCAGCAGCAAATGCAACACATAGTTTCACATCTTAAAACAAATTTAAAAACATCAAATAGAAAAACATTAAAAGATTTAAATTAAAACAAATCAAAAACAACAAGTGCACGTTATGGAGTCAGTTTCAAGACCTTTCAGTTTTGATTTAAAAGCACTCAATGAAATCAACTCAGACAGTTTCCAGTCTTTCTGCAATGTATTCCATGTAGAAGGTGCAGAATGATAAAAGCRTTTTTTCCCAATTCAGTCCGAGCAAATGGAACAGAAAGCATCAAAAAGTTTATGTTATTTATTCTTGTACAATATTGGTCAACTATGGCTCTTTTTAAATGTGCTTTTGAACCAACTTAGATTTGCCATAAAGGGAAAGTTTGGCTGTTTTTAAATCTATTTGTCAATTAGTTATCAGTAATTGGTATCAACTGTGACAGTCATCATAAAGCACAACGTATGAAGAAAGATGCAAAAGTCTACATCCAGGTGAGGCTAATGACTAAACAAAAGAGGGCCAGTTTTTACAGTTTTTCAGGCCCTTACTGGTGTGAAAAAAAAAACTCTTGCCAAATATTAAACGTCTACATTTTTTTCACACTGTTTGGTTTGTTGCTGTTTTCTTACCCGCACAGCGTTAGTTTGTTATTATGTAAATGTTCATGTGATAAACATAGCATGTAAGTGTTGTAATGACACTGTTGAATGTATCAGTCTGCCAGGAGCTGATTAAGTATTTGACAGACCAGAAGTGCAGATCAGGTGGACTGATACATTCAACAACTTAAAAACCAACAGTATGATATATGATATGTCATTCTCAGCTTACATATTTTTGCATATTACGAAAGACATTGTTAAAAAAGTGTAATGGCAAAAACATTGACGTTTAATACTAACTAACGTTCTTTCACAACAGTATGGCATTTTTGAGGAAAAATTATGTATAAACCTGAAACATGGTGTAAAATTACTCCTCATTTAGTAATTAGCCTAAAAAAAGTACTTCTCCATTCTTTGTGCTCTAATCTAGTGTTTCCCAAATTTGGGGTCAGGACTCAAAGTGGGGTCCTGAAAAGATTTTCTAAATTAATTACATTTTTGCCTTAGTTGTTACCTAAAATGTACAAATGTAGAATAATAAATTTTGTTACTATGCCCATGTTTTGTTGGCCTGATACAAATGTTTATCATCCAAAAATAGTTGGGGGCACAGGTCTCTGCTACTGTTATTTTGGGTCAAAAGCTGAAAAGTTTGGGAACC